AACCAGTTTCTGGATTTTATTACCGTAGTTCTGGAAACCAGAAAGTTTTTTGTCTGTGTTAATGTTATTGCAGACGGCCGGAAACAGTTGCAATTTGCATCGAACGGTGTACACCAATAAGCAATAGCAATAAAGCCGAAAATGGTAATAATTATAATTTTTATTATCTTCTTATTCTTACATTTCGTAAATTAACTTCCCAACCCGAAGAAAAGAAGTTATTGTAATGACCCCGAAAATGAAATATGGAATATCCATGATTTCTCCACATTTCTTGGACTCCAGAATCATCCTGATATTTACTGGTGTCACTGTCCTGAAAATCCAGGAATATATTTACCGGAATTTTCTGGTTTTCCATTTATTTTCAGGGAAAAATGGAACTGAAATTTGCAGTTCTCGTTGATTTTTCCACGAAATTCTAAATTTTCAATGACAAAATTTATTGAAATTTCAGTGATAATTAAATTTGATAAAAATGTTCAAAAAGTGTACCGAAAATTTCAGACAAAAATTTTTAACCCTAGATTTGTCACGATGAGGAAAACCCCGCGTGTCGTTTTTCTTTAATTACAATTGACTGCACTGATAGAATGATTAATTTATTCCAAACGAGATTCATTAACTATTAACGAATGGTAGAGTTGAATATGACCAAATGAATATGCATTAATAGCTAATGAATGGTTCACTTGAATGGCGAAAGTCAAGTCAAACAAGGCTTCTCAAATATACATTCGTTAACTATTAACGAATGAACATTTGGTGGGACCGAATAGACCCTAACCTCCAACCAAAATCCATTCGTTAACAACAACTAATCCGTTCTATCAGTGTGGCTAACCGGAAAAATTCAAAACAATGTGGCTTTATCAATTGAAGTGTCTAAAAAATTATAGTAGTTTTTACAACAACATATTTCCCAAAATGATTTCAGACAACTGAATTATTTTTTTCCCATGTTAAATGAAATTGCCCATGACGCGACGTTGCCGGAAACTCGCTAACCGCGCCCGGGCAGTGTAGAGCGAATTCGGCAACGCTGAAGCCTAAATAACACGGCGGCTAATCCCCGCGGAGATTAAATCTAAGTTGTTAAAAAAAAACTTCAATTGCAACTTAATTACGACTACCCACAATGATGTTAACATTGCGATTTAACGCAAAGTGTGAACTTCGCGATTTCTCGCGAAGATCGCCGACATTTGGAAATGACTCATACGATTGTGGTTTCACCGTCCCCCTCCTTGAGACAAATTTAAACCTCAATTTCAACTTAATTACGACTACCCACAATGATGTTAACATTGCGATTTAACGCGAACGGTGAACAAGTCTCAGGATCGCGTTTGGTGACCAGACTAGGGTTAACAATGTAGTCCTGGAAACCAGAAACTTTTTTCCATCTCAATAGCATTACCTACAACCGGAGACAGCTGCAATTAGCATCGAGCGATGTACACCAACAGCAACAGCAATAAACCCGAATAATGTAGCAATTACAATTCTCATTATCTTCCTGGCAACATCAAAATTTTTCCTACAACTTTCAACAACACCCGCCGCACCGATCGGATCACCGTAACGACCTAACGGATTTGCAAAAATCAATTCGCTCGGACCGTATGCCCTGCAATTGCAAAAAATGGATCACAGATTCATTCAAATTCCCAAGGGCCACAAAAATGGATTGGAACGAGCAATTTGGTGGAATACAACTCCTCCTGTTATTTGGGTGATGGGGTGAGACCGAGGAAGATTCGAAACCAGCAGCGGAGGTTTTATCGTACTTCTCCACTGTTATACCTCATTCCCTTGCGGGCAGAGGGGGAGGAGGCGTGCGCATAATATACCCAGGAGCAGGAGAGAGTTCCCTATGTTTTCTCGAAGAAGCCAAGGGGCTTGTTATACACGCTTCGCGGCATTGTTTACGGGTATATTCAGCGGAACAAGGACGGAGTGATGCAACGACCAGCAACACCAGAGGAGACGGGCGAAATTTCAAGTAAGAAAATGAGGCATATGATGATGTGAAGAAGTTGGTGGATAAAAAAAGAGGAAGGGAGAGGAGAAATGAAAGAGTTAAATGGATGGAAGGGAATTGGAATAAAAAAAAAGGAAGGAATGAAAGAGGAGACGGTTGCTCGACTTTTGGAGCACGATTGGGACCAAGAAAACGATGGGGTTTGTAGGTTCCTGGGCCATGGGGCCAGTGGGGGCCCCTCTCCTTTTCTTCGTTTTCAGCCTTCTCGCACGTTGTACGCACACGCACTTGATTTTTAATTTGAAACTGGGTCCACATTTGGTCCGCAACTCGGTTTACACACTTATTTTGGGGAGCTCTTTTTTTTCGGAGAACGTGCAAGTATACACTCTCGTTTTTCTCTCCGGCGAAGAAAAGAACCTTTGTGAGGTACCGGTAAGGTATCCCCTCTTCTTTGGGTGGTGGACCCGGGAGAGATGGGATACGCACGATTCACAATTCGCGACACTCGTGGATGTATAAACGGAATGTAACGGGATGTGTGAGGCTTTTTTTTATTTCATTGGTGTTGGTTTTTTTGAGATGGTCAATGAGGTGTATTTATGGTGGGGATTTCTGGCCTTGGTGGGGAAATGATCTTCATGCGGAGATGATTGTGTATTTTGGAGTGAACAAGTTTATCAATTGCGTCGACATTTGATGGAAAAATTATTCATCGCGGAATAAAAAGTATACCTGAATTATATATGTTTTATAACAGAATCACGTATATGCATAAACTTGATTCAAAAATACAATATACTTCATTCAAGGGGATTTTATACTCAATTGGGGATGGGTATTTCGATTCAAAGATGATTCTTTTGTCTGAGTTTTGAGGCTTTCGCCGCCATGATTATTGATATCGTTGATTCTTTTGTGCACTGTTAGAAAAAAAATGAAATTTCAGGTTTCACTGAAAACTCAGTAAAATTCAGAGAATTCCTTAATTTATTTGAATTTTCAGTGAAATCTGCAATTTCATGATTTTTGTCCCCCTAAATTATATTCAGTATCACTGTCCTGGTTTTCTATTCATTTCCAGGAAAAAATGGAACGGAAATTTACAGTTCTGTTTGATTTTTCCACGAAATTCTGAATTATTAAAAAAATTGTGCTGACCATGTGAAGACTAGCCGAAGATGAAAATTCTCCATCGGAAAAATGGATTTAATTTTTGAAAAATACCGACGTCGGTGGCCGAGTGGGCTAGACGCAATCTAGTGTGCGAAAGGCTGTGAGTTCGATTCCCCGTGGAACTCCACCCGAGGTTGTTAATAGAGTAACCGCCTGTACCGGCATGGGTTTTCTGTGGTTTCCCATGCTATTCCTATATTCTACAGGAGTGCGAATGCGGTACAGTGTAGAATCCACAGCCGCATGCATAGGTTTGGATGGAGTGCCGAAATGAGACCTGAAAAGGCCTTAAAAAAAAATTGTCGACAAAAAATTATTCTCTGTACAAGCAAGAAATGTCTTTTTGCGCACTACTTCTTTGTTATTCGATACTCCCATCGTATTTTACGATATTTATATCGGGGAAAATGCGCCGATAAGCTGTGGATTTTTTCGATAGATTCGGCGAAAGAGTAATAGAATCACCAATTCTGTAGCATCCAATCGAATTTTGTAGCGCATGTCCTACGTTTTTTATATGCAATTTTCATGACGATGCGACAACTTTCTAGGGAATTGTCACTAATTTTTAGGATTCTATGACCAATTATTGACAATCCTGAGAACTAAATATAAAAATTAAAACAAGACTTTTGTGACTTGGAGAACGTGTGGGGGCACCCATTCTTTATTATTCTACTTTCGGAAACCCGATATTTTTTTTTGTCTCGTATCAAAAAGGAGGGGAACTCTGCACAGGAAAAAAATTGACTCCCTGAATCTATTGTGTTCGTCGTAATTACACAGAGAGAGATTTTTTCTAAAAATTCTAGTGCTAGCACGGTAAAAGAGGCGGAAAGTGACGGCCAGGAAAAAATTCTAGCGCTGGCACTAGAAATTTTATTTGGGAAAACGTAAATTTTTCCCCGTATTTCTGTGAAAATTTCACAGAAATCTCCAGAAATCCTGACAAATTTTACCTTAACAGCACTAGAATTTTTCACAACCGGTGGATTGTGATTTTTTTCAGAACTCATACTAGAATTTTTCTAGAAAATTTCTCTCTGTGTAATAATAAAATTTTCGACGGCCTAGTCCAGCTGTATTGGCGTGCAGTAGAATCTTACATGCGCCCGATTCCTCGGATTCACACTTGACGAAGAGTCGCTACCGCATCTCCTGATATGGGTTGTTTTAAAGAGGTTTAAATTTATTCGTAGCTACGATACACTGAAAAAAATTTCAATAGTAATTTCAACTACAAGGGAATTGTCAAAGAAATTATATTTACAGTAACAATAAACTTTGTAGATTAAACTAGGATTCATCGTTCGATTTACTATGTCAAATAGTGTCATCAACATTATGACGTAATTTTTACGTTAATATAATAGTTGAATCTACAATGTTCATTGTTACCGTAACTATTATTTTTTTGACAATTCCCTTATAGTTGGAATTACCATTGAAATTTCTTTCAGTGTACATTTGTTAAAGCCATCGAAATTTATTTTTGCCTCAGTAACCATTTAGATAGGGAATATCTAAAGGTATTATCTAGGGTAATTGTTGTGCATAAGCTTGTTGGTTGTTGCCTATGGCAAACGAAACAAACGTGTGGAACTCAAATGCGATAATTCTGTAGTCTTATGAGTGAAGTAAGTTGCATCGTTTGTATAGAAATTACATTTGTAGGGGAGGGTGGAGCAAAACGGCCCCCTTCAATTGTCAATAACTTGTGAATGACATTGCGAAAATTCCCAGTTTCAACTTCATTTTGAAGATAATTTTTCATTCTTCAAAACGAGCTCTAACTCATCCCAATCGGATTATTGAATCGGAAAATATTGACGANAAATACACAAGATTGTATTTCCGAAATTTTTGTTTGTTTGAAATAAAACAAGTGTGGCAAAGGATAAATTTTACCCTCTCGAACGTAATTTTTTGCAAAATAACAGTAAACATTACATGTTGGCGGAAATGTACTAAAACGACGAACAAATTTCACTGCATTTTCAGCGGATTTTTATCATACGTCGTTCAGTAATTTTTACTCGATATTTCTTGTGATTTGTCTTTTTTTTTCTTCGTGTATACTAACGCGGTACGAATTTGGAAATGTGCCGAATCTATCAACTTGTTGGAATTTTTGTGCTTGGCGCATTCAATTGTATTGCGGATGACTGCAAATCTAGTGAGCCATGGGTGCAAGCTAGAGAAAACTGTCGAAGGCAGAGTAGGTACAAACACAGAGGTCTTAGAAATTTTTTTTTATGCTTATTTTACATCGCTTCGACCCGGTTAGGATATGCTACGATGATGATCAAGACTTTAAGGGCGCCAAGTGAATTTGAAAAAAGATTCAAAAAAAATTTTTTCTTTCCCTCCATCATTGGAGAAATATGTATTCATCCATCCGACGAAATTTCAAAACCGCAACCGGAACTAGACATCGAGAAAATAAATGCAGAAAATCCTCTATTTCGCGTGACGAACCTCGAGAAAGCATGGGATCAAATGGGTACGGCGGGTTGAAATATCTCTCTTATTCACCCCGGTACCCCATTGTTTTTTGTCGCCATCACATTGAACACATCATTCCCCATATCTTCAAATTTTTTCAAATTTTTCTTGAGTTCCTAGGGGGTTGAAACGTTCAATTTAATCAAAACTCCATAAGAGGCCGTGTATAAGACTGATTTTGTTTATTTAATTCTCGATATCCATAAGTTCTAAAATTTTAAAATTGTCACCGATGTTCACCATCTGCCTAATACTATTAATTAAAAAAATTATAACTTTGTTGGTGAATGTCAATTTTCAAGGTCATCGCCAAATTCACTTGGCACCCTTAAATGATAAGATCTCACCATTCTACCCGGCCTGGTTTTTGAACTCGGAACCTTTCGCACGTGAGGCAACGAACTTACCCACTGCGCCAAGCCACCGGGTCTTGGAAAATAAAACACATTCTTCTTAATTTGAAATCTTGCATTTCAGTCTCCGAGGACGATGAATGCTTCTGGAATTGTGTACATGGAACTTTAGGAATTGTAAGTCCAAAATTTTTTACCACAAAAGCTTAACATCCCGATTAACTTCCCGATTTATATTGGGTAGTTATTGTAGCGGCTCAGACCAATCGAAACTGGAATTTTCATGATATTTTCACGTTTCATGACCTCTTCAAACATTCGATGAAGTTTTTAGAAGGCTGTTCTTGTGCGTGTGCGTATTTGAGAGCAAGTTTGCACAACGATTCTGCTTGAACGAACGATCTGATTCAATTCGTTTCCATGTAATCGATTTAAACCACATTGTCTCAGCGCTTTTCTAGATTTATCAATAAAACTAGTTAAAAAACGTTAAAATATGGGATTTTTTTGCAAATTCTATTGTTTCTCCTGGAGGAATGATGGGATTGACTTTTCCTCGTTATAGTCGATGCAGGTTTGTATGACTAAGGTTGAAGTGAAATTCCAGTGAAATCGTCTCAGCAGTTGTAGAGTTATTCAGATATAAATATTTCGTAATTTTAAAACTTTTTTGAAATTTTTTTCTGTTAATCCCTCAAGAACGGTGCCCTTTTGACAATAACCTCGCCGCGCGCCAAATGGGAACGCCATTCACTAACTTCCATTAGCCCAAAAATGATATAAAGTAGGAATAATCAAAATCAAGCCAGTAGTCTTCACAACGGAGCTCGCATAAATGTCTAAAGTTCGATATTTTTGGAAATATTCAACTTTGAAAAGAGACGTACAATTAGGCGTGGGTCCGTATGTGATATCGACGCCAGGTTTGAGGGTTTAAATGAACAAGAAAAAAAAATTAATCGGGAAGTTGGTGGTTGAACCCTCAGTGGCTCACTCCCACTCCAATCCGGGAGCGAGCGAAGCGAGCGACCGGCACTGACTTTTCAAGTTTTGATCAATTGGAATTAATTGTAACCCTTGATGATAATATTTTTTTTTTTTTAATGCTTATTTTATATCGCTTCGAGTCTGATGAGACTATATGGCGATTGATCAAGACTTTAAAAATGGTTAGATCTCACCATTCTACCCGGCCAGGAATCGAACCTGGAACCTATCCGTTGTGAGGCAACGGCCTTAACCACTACGCCAGGCCACCGGTTGCTTGATGATGATAATATGTTTCAGTTGGACGATTCTGGACGTCTTTCAGAAGACAAAATTCATGACGTGGTTGAGAAACTAATTGACGAACCAGAATTACGTGAAGTCATGGAGAAAAGTCAAACAAACTGCATCTCGCAAAGTAAATTTCCTCAAAATCAATTGCATTATCCTCTCACATTCACTTTCAAATATCGCAGCCGTGGAAAAATGATTGATTACCGTTGCAGTTGATGATACGATGAACGCATGCAAAGGATCGAAAATGTTCAATAAGTGCAGTTGGAGTGATGAGGAGGTCGTGCAAGCACTTAAAGCCGAGAATTATTGCCAAGAGGACTTCGAGGACTTGATTAAGAATCAGTAAAATGAGATAACATGTGGCTTATGTTCAATCTACACGGAGAGAAATTTTTGATAAAAATTATCCTACCGTTCAATAAAAGTGTATCATGAGTCATCGTTTCCTCATTTCTATCCCGAAATTTAGTAAAAATTAATATATGATGATCAAATTTTATTCTACGTTTGAGAAATTTTATCCTGACGCATAATAAATTTTACCCTTCCAGTCCAATAATTTTTATGTAGATAACAACGAAAATTCTAGAACGGTTGGTTAATTGTACCCTACCGATACAGTAATTTTTACTCTGCCGGCACATTAATTTTTATTTTTATCAGAATAAAATTTCTCTAACGTAGAATAAAATTTGATCATCATATATTAATTTTTACTAAATTTCGGGATAGAAATAAGGAAACGATGACTCATTATCATGAGTCACTTTTATAGAATGGTAGGATAATTTTTATCAAAAATTTCTCTCCGTGTACGTATGTCTGTAATAAGACATAAAGAACATCGTTCAATTGGAATTAGAAAAATGAGTACGGAATCGGTGTCTTTCCGCTTAGAGTACCCATCTTCCCCCTCCTCCAGAGTCGTAATAAAACATGTTGTATTATCTTTATTGCAATAAAACCGCATTCAGCAATTGAACCCTTTTTGAAATTATTTTTAGAATTTATTTCCTTTCAAATTCTCATCTGGAAAAATATATATTCTGAAAATTATAAATTTTATATATCGAATTGACCTGATTTATATATAAAAGTTATATAAAATATAAATTTATGTTTCATATATATCTTAGGGGAGGGTAGGACAAAAGGAACCCTAGGGCAAAACAGACCACTGACAGAAAATTGATAATTTTTGTTTTTGCTTTCGAATGGAGTAAATTCGAAGTAATTTGGGGTTTGAGGTGATTAGCAAATCTGATCAAATTGCAGTTCAACGACACTTGTTGTCTATAAAACCCCAGTGACGGTTACGATCTAAGAAACTCACTTTTAATTCAACACATTCAGTGTTCCTGATTTGAAGGAAAGAAAAAAACACAAATTACCAATTTTCTGTCAGTGGTCCGTTTTGCCCTATAGAGGTCCGTTTTGCCCTAGCTGTCCGTTTTGCCCTACCCTCCCTTATATAAATGTTATACATATTTTTCATATATTTTTCTATGGGGATTTATGCAGTACTTATTGAAGTGGGAGGAATTTTTGTGTTCAAGTTGGATCCTTTCTCAATATAAAATTCATATTTGAGAATTTTTGGGATCTTATATGCAAAAAATTCGACTGGGTTATTGATCGCTCACTTCCCTTGCTCCCATTGCGGGCGGGTTCAAGTGGGTGTGTTTAATTTTAATACCTGAATAAATTTAATATTTATTCCCATTACAGGTCGACCTAATAACTTCCCGATCAATTCCCATTTTTTTCTTTATTAAAAATAAAAAACGCAAATTTCGAAATTTCCATCCGGATAACGAGAACACGCTAAGACGATTTTACTCAGAATCCAATAAAAATCTAGTTGCATGTAGATGTATCGATCGTTCTAAAAAAATCAAATTCCATTCGTTATTCTCGGTAAAATTGTTAAGTTTTCAAAGAAAATTCTTTTTTTTTCGATTTTTTCATACCCCTTTCGTGAATAACTAACGAACCGCTGAGACGATCGTCTTTATGCGCAGATGCGTAGGATCAAAAATGGTCATTAGATACACTTTGAGTGAGGAGAAGTACGTACAAGCAGTTAAAGCTATCAATCATTGTGCATCTAATTCTAAAATATTATGAATAATTTATCCACACTTTGAAATATATGAATAATAAACAAGTTTGATGCATTGTAGGTTTTTTTCCTCATACAGGTGCATACTTCTTTGTTTATTGGTTGAGTTTTGTAGAATGGACGAGAATAATAACAATGTGGTGGAAAGCATTAGCAGCGATCTAGATATGAACTATCGCAATCGGTTCGTATAGTGTCACTGTTTATGGCAAACGTAACAAGTAAGTTAAATTCCGCGGCGATAATTTTTTCAGTCTTATGTACGAAGTTGAACGTATCACTTGGTCAACGCAGAGATCTCCTAGAAATTGCATTCACGGATTTAGAAATGGGTCCGATTCATCAACTTCTCGCAATTTTTGTGCTAGGTGCACTGAGTTGTTTTGCGGAAGACTGCAAAACTAGTCGGAAGTGGCTGGCAGCTAAAGAGGAATGCGAAAAGGAGAGTAAGTGCTAGTAATGCGGCGAGAGAATTCACAAGACTGCACTTTGGAGAAATGGTATCGGTCTCAATGAACATGAAAATCTTTGGTTTCGTCTCAGTGTTGAAAGGCACAATATCGTATCTTTATGACTTTTTTTAAATCGCTATTTTACATCGCTTTGACCCGATTGGAGCGTGCTGAGTTGATGATCAAGATTTTAAATGGTTAGATCTCACCAAATCTGGGGATTTCTGCGAAAATTTCACAGAAATCCCCTGAAATTTTACTAGAAATACCAAGAAATTTTACCTTAACAGCACTAGAATTTTTCACAGCCGGTGGATTGTAGTTTTTTCCAGTACTCGTACTAGAATTTTTCTAGAAAATTTATCTCCGTGTGCACTGCGCAACATGCAATCGGGCAATATCTTTATCACTGAGAGATAATTTATCTCATTTCGGTTTCAAGTTTTTTATTTTTGCTTCCGAATGGAAGCATTGTAATCATTCAAATTTAAGGTTTGAATTTTTTGTGTTATATCGACCCATTACGATCCACAAAGTCCGAAAATGCAATTTTTAGACCGTGTCCGTACGAATATGTGTATTTATGTGTGTGGTAAAGTTTTTCTTCAATTGTTCGCTAATGAATGGATGGAATTGAATCTTTTCGATTTCAAATATAGATATCATTAAGAATTTTAATCGTCACTAATTAAAATTTAATTCATCGAATATTTTTTTTTTTTAATTTTTTCAAACATCGGTCGTCCGACGATAACTAAAAAGTGTTCTGAATTGATTGAATAATGGCTTTAAAAAATTGTTTGCGTGTCCTTTTAACTGAGTTCGAAGATGAAGGTGATAGTAATAATCGTTATTATGATTTATTTGAAAATTTTAAAAAAATTTGTATTTTTTGAAAATCAGAATTTCGGGGATATCCTTGAATATCATGCTTCAAATGAATTCAATCACAGCTTAAAATGTTTGTTTTAATGCAATTAATTCGAAGTTAAAAGATGATTACTGTAGCTATATTGGTTGGTTTGATTTTTATGATGATTGTTGACAATTTAGAATTTTTCATGAATTTCCCTGAAAGTGAGCTTTCTGATGATTTCTTCAAATGTGATGTTTCAAATTCATTCAAATATGTGTAAATAAATTTTTTCTATCAACATTTTATCGTAGGGCTGAGGGTAGAGATAGAACTGTAAAAAAGGCAATCGTTTATATAGACGAAAAGGGATACTACGAATAATAATGCTGATAACATTCAACTAAGTTGAAAATCTGGCAAAATTGGGTAAAAGGAAATCTTATTCAATTTAATAAAATGAAATAAACAATGCATTATACATGATAGAAGGAAGTTGCTAATAAATTCCGAATTTATTAACAAAAATAACTATATTGTGTACAATCCAAGAACAATTTCCCGCTTGTTTTGCTGTAAAATCTCGGTTTGTCTCGTCTTGGTTTTCCACGTATAAAAAACGTCAAGAGCTGAAAACCGAGATGAGATAAATTGACTCGGAGTCATCACGAAAGGAGTCGATACTGCGGATTTTAAGACGGAGACGAGACCAAAAATTTCTACATTTACTGAGACCGAGACGATCCCTTCAAAGAATTGTCTCGTGGTGTCTCGTGAAGTCTCTCGCGGCAGCACTAGTAAGTGCAAATATAGAGTTTTTACTGAAAAACATGTAATTCTCAATTTGAACTCTCATGACTTAGTGTCCGAGCAAAATGCATGCTTTTGGAATTGTATGTATGAAGAAGTCAGAGCGGTAAGTGAAAAATATTTGTCAACGCAAGATTCATGCAGAGTTTGATTTGCGATATATTTCAGTTGGATACTTATGGACGTCTTTCGAAGGAGAGAAGCCCTGATGCCTTGAAGAAAGTGATAGAAGAACCTGAATTGAGGGAAGCTGTGGATAAAACAATCGCAAGCTGCCTCTCGCAAGGCAAGTGTCTTGCAAATAAAAAGCATTCTTCTGCAATTTTGTCCTGCAAAACTTGAAGTCATGAGAAAATGACTCGTGCCTATTCTGTTATTGCAGTTAGAGATGAGATAGATCCGTGCAATCAATCGAAGATGCTTCATGAGTGCTTGTGGAGTGATGAGGAATTCCTGGAAGCGATGAAGGCCGCAAACCATTGTGTAATGACACCTCAATAATAACGAATGATTTATCAGAAATATACAAATACTATAATTACGCAATACATTGCACAGCCTCTGCATTAAGATGTGTGCCTACTTCGTTGTTTATTGATCCTGATTTATCAGATTTATGGAAATAAAGTTATTGGCAATTTGAAAATTCTTAATACTCCTTGTTATGACTTTTGGGCAAGTATAAGCAAGCGTTGAATAAGAAACGGCTGTAATTACTTCAGCCTAAGTGATTATGATAAGCGGACTGAATAAGTAAAATGGCAATGCGATAAATATAAGGCATGCATTTCTGCAGTCTTATATGTGTACCCACTGGGAAAACCAAGTTCATTAAATGATTTTGTATTTTTCCGAAAGATGAGGGACAATTGGTTCACAATAAGAGAGCGACTTCTAGAATCAAGTAAACCGGTTTTTTGATTTTAAGGTGTTTCGTGCGAAACAGGTAAATACTGACATTCATCTGGAATTCATATAGAATGTTTATAATCATAATTGAATTATCTATGAATTTTCCTAGAATTTTTTCAGATTTCCTTGTCCAGTTTTTAAGGATTAAAGTCGCTTTGTATACATCCGCTCTTATGGAGATTTTTCTGTTTAGCATGAAACTGTATTATCAGTTCGGATGGTAACGCACTTTCGCGTAAATATATGCATAATCATAAATATTAATTAATGTTAAATTGTGAATAAGTCAATTGTTTCTATTACCAATTTTTCCTTATTAAATTAATCATCAATGTCAATATTCAAATTCTGAATTATTTTTATAAATAATCAATTTTCAAATTTCACATTTCAAAGAAAATAAGTAAATCTTAATTATTCTAAGATGCAACTTCTCATAATATTACTAAATTAATGATTGATGTGGATCCATGAATGGTTGAATCTACAGTGTGGTCTGTACCAAACTGTAAAAGATACTCGGATATCCTTAATGCCACTGTCTTGAAAACCACTAGTCAACTTTCCATAAAATTTCAAGATTATTCTAACAGTACAGAAACAAATGCTTCCTTCATCCGACTATAAAAACTCCATTCAGAAATTCATTCATGAATGTTCATTAAAAAATTGAAAATGCAAAAGATACCCCAGACGAATAAAACAATAATGCAGTGATTTTCTCCACTAATCAATGTGATTAAACTCATCGCTGTAAATCTATGAAACATAAGTCCACTCATGCATATCGACATCATCAGACATGCTCCTAAATAACTCCCCTTTTAAATTAAACAATCACCCACTCCAAGTAAACATGTCCCGCAATAAACCGAGATAATTAATCAATAAATTCTCCAAGATTTCCAATGCCATTAAGACTCATTCAAGCTTACCTCCAAATTGAGAATAAACTCCTGTCTCAGCTTAGCCGCGCAAAATAAGATATCTCAAATTTTTTGTGATTTTCTTTTTATTACGAATGAAAGATACCGACAGACTACTCATTTACGTTTATAACGGCATGGAATTAATGCAAAACCACGATGATAAGGAGGCTCGAGGTACGCTGATTATCTATCCCCTTTCGGATAATAAAAAAAATGTGGAGTGCACGCGATATTGGCCACTGCCAATAAAAAAATCACCGCAGGACCACACCGTGGCAACCCACAGGGTTTATATTCGTTTCTCCCTCTGTTCAGCGCTCCCTCTTGCTCATATTAATAACTGGCGATGCCAAAAACCTGTCCTGGTTTATTCGGGGTGATTGTCCAGGAGCCAAAGACGAGAGAATAAGAGAGAGGCACTGGGGAATGGGCATTCACCGATGAACGTTAGATCCGCATCAAGTGCAGCTTCTCCTTCACGTAATTGCAGGTGGACCTCGTGCATTCAGCTTTCTGCATCGTGTGGATCTACGCCAGATACTCGGCAGTCTCTCTCGCTCTCTGGCTTTTTCGGGGGGACTCTTCCTCTCTCTTGGTACCACCTTCGAGCCTTTGGCTCGTGGGTCCTGGCGTGCGTCTTGGCGATTTAGACACGCGCACGTGCTCTTTTCTTCGTTTTCCCCTCTGGTCATCATTTCGAGATTCTTTAATATCAATGGTTTTTTGAACTGATGCCTCTGGACATCAATAAACAAACGTGTTCAAGATTATACGATTCGAACTTTGGAACCTATAATTATTATTATTAAATAGAATAAAATTATTGAGAAATTCATCTCCTAGAAAAATATTTATCATTGGAGCAACAAAAGCTTTTTCATAAATGGAAAAAAATACCTGAATTCAGTAGCGAAGTGGTAAAACGGTACAAGTCAATTTTGAGTATTGACCGGTTTTCAATGAATATCTCCGAATCTAAGGGAGATCGCAAAATTTTTGTTATAACCTTTTTTCTAGAGCCGATTGAGTGCTACAATAAATGTAGTTACGAAAATTTCGCTATCTCCCTTAGATTCGGAAATATTCCTCAAAAACTCAACTGGGAGATAAGTCGACTTAAACCGTTTTACCACTTCGCTACTGAATTGAGTATAAAATATACTTGATTCAAGTATATTTTATAGTCAATTGGGGGATGGTTAGACCGACTGAAAAAATCAAGTTGCTCTTCTCCCGATACCGCAAAAAAGTTCTTAAATGGAGATGACCACAAATACATCGAAGAAATCTGTAAATATCTCAAAGAATGCAAACTACAAGTATAAATATGATGTATAAATAATTTGTGTAAATATGTATCTTTTATAACGACAGTGTGAATAACTCGGCATAAGAGTTCCATCACTATAAATAATAAATGAATAAAAATTGGTGATTGAGTATTTCAATGTGAAGATGATTCTTTTATATTAATCTATTTTCCGGTGACGGGTATTGACTACCAATTCTCCTCTAAAATAAATAATGTGTCTGAAGACTATTCGAAAAAAGTGAACGGTGAAAAAAAAAATTTTATTCAGTAGTAATACCCAAAGAGCTTCAAAATTATCGGGATTTCCCGATAGCTTCGTTGCAAACAAATGAAGGTGTCAAGTTTTGCAGGAGAAAAAATCCTGGAATTTTTCTTTAAAATTTGGCACGATCGTTTATTTACAGAGAAGCTTGAGGGAAATATCCGATTAATTTTGAATCTCGCGTGGTATTTATCGGATTATTTCCCACATCACGATTTTGATGAATAGAATTGTGATATTTGGTGTCCTACTGGTACATTCATCAATTTTTTGTTACTCTGCTTGCCAACGGGAAAATTACCGAACGACGGGAAATTATCGATATAATTCTCTTCTAATTGTTCCAGGAGACGTCGAATACCGTAATTCCATTGTTTGTAAGGGTGATGGGGGAAATAATCTGTAGTAATACCACGAGACCTCCAAAATTATCGGATATTTCCCGATTGTTTTGTTGCGTAGCAACGAGAGGGAGAAGTTTTGCAGATTAAAATACGGAGCGCGCAGCACGAGGGATTTTTTTGCAAAACTTATCCCGATCGTTGATACGCAGGAAAACATGAGGGAAATGCTCGATTAATTTTGGAGGTCGAGGGGTATTCGACGGATTATTTTTTGTAATCGGATCCTTCGCAAACCGACTCGTTTTTACATTCTTCATGACTTTCTTTCACTCCACAGGATAATATTTGACAGTTATTTGGTTACAGAAACAATTGCAGAGCTAGAGGGAAATTATCAAAAGCTAGGGGGAAATAACCGCTGTAATTTTAATTGGGAAGTACTTCATGTTATTGAATACTGAACTCTGATTGGCCCAGGGAAGGCCAGATCCGATTACCAAAAATAATCACCCAAATTTTCATTCGAGTTTCTTCAATATCAATGGTTTTTTCAATTGATCCCTTTGGAAATAAATAAACAAACGCATTCAGGTTGATGATGCAATTCTAACTTTGGAACCTATAATTTTTATTATTAAATAAAATAAAATTATTGAGAAATTCTCCTAGAAAAATATTTATCATCGAAGCACCAAAAACATTTTCATCAGTCCACTTTCCCACGAGAAGTATTCACTACCAATCCTCCTCTAAAATAAATAATCCGTCTAAAGACCGTTCGAAAAAACTGAACGATGAAAAAAAAATTTATTCACCAACCCCCAAAAGTTTTTCCCCTGGCATCGCAACGGATTTTTCGGTTAATCCCGAGTTGAAAAATCTCAGCTATCGTTGACGAGGTGATCCGGGTCGGGCTGCACCCCAGTATCGAGTTTGCTCGGGATGCCTAGGAAAATATTATCGCAAGCGCTGGAGAGGCCCAGGGGGATGGCAAGATACATACGAGTAGCGCAATGCAATTCAGTAGAAATTTCCTCGGGTTTGTTGTTCCACGATAAATGCATATTCGCCCTTGGCACACGGGACTAAATCGTGTATATCTTTTTACATTTTTTTCTCTCGACTGATTCTGGTCTTGTCTAACAGTGGCTCGTTTGGATGCCATTCTTTTATTCCATTCACCCGGAGTCTCGCATTTTCACTTGGACAATTCCACATTCCCCCCGGGGTCTCACGCCTCGGCATTGACCGTCAACCATTCACTGGCTCCAATTCTCTTCGACACAGGCCCTTTGTCACATCGAAGAATAAAAAAAAATACGTAGAGGTAGAGGGTGCAGTGGGGGTAAACTGGATAAAAGAGTCTGACCATTGGAAAAATGAAGCAAGAGGATACGTTTTGGTTGTAACCTTCGTAGAAATCACTGCACGATATTTCTTGCGGTCAGTATCTTCAATAGGAGACGATGGCATTAGTCGCCCCTGGTCTCCGTGACATTTTGCCTTATGGGCGCTTTCACATGGAACAGAAGTGCATTTTATGCTTTTTTGGTGCATCAGTGTCATTTGACCATGGTATATCGTTGGCCCCACACACACCCCAGTGTGCTCACTTGCGAAATAATTCACGCCCCCTTTTCTTGGGGGTTACCCCGGGATATAGGTGGCAACAATAGGGGAGACGATTTACTCGAGATACGCCCGACCCGTGCCAATGATTTCTTGGGGAGAAAATATCATTGATCATCTCTGTGTTCTTCTGCGGTTTCTTTTGAATTCAGCGAGGATGGGAGGCTTCTAGTTCCGGAGATTTGACTCGGGAGAAACTTCAAAGGAATATCGTCATGAAATATTTCTGGTACATTGGTTGAAGAAGTTCCATGTTGACGTTTGT